TCGAGCCCCGCGTCGGGCTCTGCGCTGACAGCTCGGAGCCTGGATCCTGCTTCTCATTCTGTGTCTCCCTCTCTCTCTGCCCCTCCCCCACTCACAGTCTGTCTGTCTTTCTCAAAAATAAATAAACATTAAAAAAAACTTTTTTACTACAAAAGGAATTTCAGGTCTGTGCTGGGCTGGACCCAGCAGTCCATGTCTTGGCCAGGTTCTGGGGCCCAGGGTGGTTATTGGCTTTTGTTTCCAACACCTGAGGCCCAGCTGGTTAGAATGTTTCCCGACAGAACCTTCATCAAGCCCTCTTCTCTGCAGCAGTAGCTCTGCAGACCCCAGGCTCCTTTAACTCCACAGAAGGTGTCCTTCCAGAAGGAGCCAGGTGTGATTCAGGACTCCTCTCCTCTGGGCCGGGTCAGGACAGTGTGGATGGCCTGGGGTGTCCGGGCCATTGCACGCTTGCCACAGGGACAGGTGGGCAGGTGGTTCAGGGTCCTGGGTTTGGGTCCTTTCTTTCCCTTACCTTTTGCCAATGTTCTCTCCTGTGGCCACCTAGGGAGTGGGATCTGGACATCTGTAGATGATGCTGGCTCCAAAACACGCCTTACCTGTGCCTTGAACCACAGCACCACTGAGATCGTCGGCCACCGCTGGGTGAAGGCGGGCAAGGTGCTGAAGGAAGACGCGCTGCCCGACCTGAAGACAGAGTATGAGTGAGTGGGGCCTGCCTCAGGGCCCGCAAACACACCGGGCCCCATCTCAGCCTGCAGGCGTCACCCCCAGGCCCCTTCCTGCCCCTGCTCCCACACCGTGTTGCTGCTCACGGCCTCTCTGGTCAATCAGAACTGGGGTTGTAGTCGGCGGGCCTGCTTTGGACAGACGTTAGACACAAGCTCTGCTCAGATCCCTCAGTGTGAGAAGCCCAGGCTTTTGGGGTCTGAGATGGCCAAGGCCTGGCATCCAGCGAGGGTCCCCTGGCTGCTGAATGTAAGGCTGGACTCCAAGACCCTTCCCTTCTTTCTCCGGGGTGCCGGCTGAGGAGGGCAGGCAGACCTGGGGTCTCCCAGCCCGGAATCCCCAAGCACCTGGCTCCCTGAGGTCTTGGGGCCTCTGTGCCACCCTGCTCTGAAGCCTGCTCTTAGTCGATGCCTGAGCCAGCTCCAGAACCAGAGTCTGGTTTCAGGGGTGACTGGGCACAGGGGCTCATCGATGCAGGCACCGGGTCAGTCAGTTGGGGGGACCGGTTCCATCTGCCACCCATGCCTCCTCGTCTCTCTCTGATGGGAAGTGGGCAGCCTGTGCCCTCGTGCCCTGCAGGGACTCCCAAGTGTGGCCTTGCTCTGGCCCCCGGTGGGAGTCCCCTGCTGCTCGCAGAGGTTTGAACTTCACCGAGGACAGGATGGCATTGCTGCGCGTCTGTTTGCAGGGTGGACCTGGATGACCGCTCTGGTGAGTACTGGTGCGTCTTCCTCCCAGAGCAAGCAGGCAAGACCAGCATCGAGGTGAAGGGTGAGCTCTGGGGGCCCTCGGGGGCATCTGGGGCGGGGGCCAGAAGGACCCCCAGAGAGGTACAGCTCCTCCTCCAGGGTCATGGGCTCAGGCTCCTGCCTTGCTCGGTTACCCCTGTAGGGCTCCCCAACATCAAGGCCGTGAAGAAGTCCGAGCACGCCACCGAGAGGGAGTCGGTCGTGCTAGGCTGCAAGTCTGACTCCTTCCCCCCGGTCAGCGACTGGGTGTGGTACAAGATGGAAAGCTCTGGTGACCAGGTGAGGCCCACGCCTGCCGGGGGAAGAGCTGGCCTCCGCCCCGGCCCCGGCCCCTACAAAGTCCGCCCACCCCCAGGTCATCAGCAACAGCTCCCAGAACAAATTCTTCGTGGTGTCCTCGGAGACGAAGACGGAGCTGCACATCTTGAGCCTGGACCTGGAGACGGACCCCGGCAGGTACGCCTGCAACGGCACCAACTCGGAGGGCACCAGCCAGGCTGTTGTCACGCTGCGCGTGCGAAACCGCTTTGCCGCCCTCTGGCCGTTCCTGGGCATCGTGGCCGAGGTGCTGGTGCTGGTCACTGTGATCTTCATCTATGAGAAGCGACGGAAGCCGGACGAGGTCCTGGACGGTGAGCCCAAAGGCCCTTTGCTCGCCGTGCAGGGGGGGTGGGGGGTGGGGGCAGGCCACTGTCCGGGAGTGCGGGACAGAGGAGGGCGCTGTGGGGTCAAACGGGTCCCCGGCTGGAGGTCTGCTCGCCTGTTGCCTGGTCTGCCCCGCTGTCCTCCCTCACTCGGCTGCAGGTGGGTGACCTCCGAGGGGAGTGGCTGTCCTCTTGGCTGCTCTGCCCCCGCCCATGGCGGCTGCTGAGGGCCCAAGGGTTGTAGGCACCGAGCATGCTCTTGACTTTGCACGTGACAGAGCTCAGGAAACCTGAGCTTGGCCCCTGCCTGGCTCCTGCGGGCTGAGTTCGTGGGGAGCGGGCAGGGCTCCCAGGCACCCCCTTGGGCCATGACCCCAGACAGCTCATTTTGAGGATGCGTGTGCCGGCAGCCGGGCCGGTTGCCTGCACTTATCAGTCAGGGAAACTGAGGGCAGGGCCCAGCAGGACCGGTGCCAGCCCACGAGGGGCTTTGTCCCGGGACACTTACTGATGGCCTGTCCTCTCTCTGCATGTGGCCGCGCGTCTGCACAGATGAGGACACCGGCTCCGCTCCTCTGTAAGTCGTGGCCTTGCTGGGCTAGCAGGCAGGCAGCGTTCCCCGGGCAGAGCCTGGAGGGGCTGCTGGCCTGGATAGCCTGCACCCTGCACGTGGTGGGTGGGAGCAGGGACAGCGTCGTGTCTTCCCGAGCGTCCGTCAGCCCTCTGTCCCTCCCCAGGAAGAGCAGCGGGCACATCAACGACAAAGGCAAGAACGTTCGCCAGAGGAACGCCAACTGAGGTGAGGAGGGGCGGGGGGGA